CTCATAAAAGCACGTTGTACTTACATATCGAGCAAAAAACAAGAGAATTACTGTGAATAAAAAAAAGCACAGAAAAAAGAAAAAAAAAGTAAAAACGGTCGGCTCCGCCGTCGCCACCGTTAAACGCCATTATCGGAAATAAACTGATGATTGCACGCAAATTTAATTGATTTGATTGCTTTTCGATATATACATTAATACCTAATAACTTTCAATAATATCATTTTCTAAATGAACTTTATTCGCACAGACTTAATGGCCAATACGAATGCGGCAATAAAATTGAACTGTCGTCAGAATAACTAGCCACATTCCACGTTCATGTACTCGTTTTTGTTGTTGCCACATACACGCGCTAAAACAAAAATCCATTGTAGAGAAAATTTGCTTTCAATTATTTATATAACGAATCTGATTTATTTTTGAACGATTAATCGCAAAAGTTATACAAATTGATTTGAACTTGATTATAAGGAGAGAAAAGTTGTGCAGAAAAATTGAATATAACAGTAGTTTACTTGGAAAATGGAATAAAATGGAAGAAAAATGGACGCAAACTCACCACACATAACTATAAATAGAGAGAAAAAGTCGTTAAATTATGACTTCTTGCAAACGACTGGAAAATTTGACGAATCACAATAAGGGTTCAAGGAGTCATTGTGATATGTGTTTCGCTTCAATACGATCATTGCGCAGTTAAAAATATCTCTGCTAGAAAACGAACTTTATTTTGGAGAATTTACATTTGAGTGGAAATTATCTTCAGTTTGTTTGTCGTTTCAGATGAGCACTCAAATTCCTATTTTATAATTTTATGATTGGTATGAAATATTCCTTGCTGCGGTTGCTGTTGTTGTTATTGTTGTTGCTACTGCTGACGTATCTGACATAATCTATCTTACGTAAAATGACTGAATCGACTGTACTTTTAGTTAGCGGTAATCGCTTGGTTTTACATAACGAAAACTTCATTTATTGTCAAATAAATTGAAAATGAAAACTAACGTTATTTTTAGATTGTATGTAGGTTTTCTCTCATTCGTGATTTGGTGTAGAACATTCTTATGATTCTGCGTTTTCCCGACGATTTTTTTCTTCATTCCATTCATTTTGAATTTCCTTGTTGCTCATATGAGAGAGAGAGAGAGAGAGAGAGAGAGAGAAAATGGAGAATAAATCATGAAATTTTACGCTTACTACAGAAAGAATGACGTAAAATTCAATGGAAAACAAGTGGTGCAGCAATTCATTGTATAAAATTTGTTGTTTATTCGGCGAACTTGTTCTCGTATTGAATGTTTAGCATGTCGCGGTCGCGCGCGCAACGTAATTTATGGGACAAAATTCCAATGTTTGGCGCGATGACGTCATTGACTGTTGATGCGCCATCGTTCTGTTACCGAATCGAACCTATGCCATTCGATGTTGCGAACATTCCTGGTTGCTAAGATGTGTGGATGTGTGTGCTTATATGTATTCTGCGTTCAGAACAATTGAATCAAATGCACACAACCATTGAAACACCCGCAAAATGCGTGGAATCAAGAGTTTTGCTATAGATGTCCGTGGGTGTAACTTTATTGTTTAACAAAGTAATACATTTATCAATGGTTTCGGTGGTAGCAGCAATCAGCGATGACGCACAGCCTCTTCGCAATCCAACGATCATCGTTTCTGTCTCGATCATTAAATTATACTCGATTATTGCTTGAGAACCATATTGCCATTTTATTTACACATTTCGAAATCAAAGCTCAGCTCATAGTCTTTTCGGCTGGATTGATAAACAAGATGTTTGTGTTTATCATATTCAAGGAAATCTTCAAATAATTTTCAAACAGGCACGTGCATTTGATATGCAATGATTTGTTCTATTGTGACCGTGTCTTTGTCATATATTTGAAATTGAAAGCATTAAACAAATGTCAAACAAGGGAAACGTGTTCAATTAAAATAGACTGACAATGTTTGGAATCTAGTTAAATAAAAACAAAATGAAAATAAATGCGTAGCATGCGATGTACGAGCGACCGGCATAAATTGTACCCGTATTTAAAGCGCAGTGTTGCGTGCGATAATTTCCGTACCGTTTGTGTCTAATTTTCGAGGCTATCAAAAATTGGATTATTCCGTGTAATTTTCCTCCGAATGCAAAACATGTGGACGAGGCTTACATGATGCATGCAATTTGTTCATGATTATGCGTAAACACCTTTTGACATTTTTAATCCAGTTTATTATGAGTAGCACCAAAAAAATTATCATATCCACGGCCATGATACCATCGCTAGCATTTCGAATGTAAATAATTGGTGTACACGATGGCATATAAACGAATAAATGACACAAAATAACCCTCCAAACGGAGTTCATTGTGAATTTCCGTACAACGTAGAATCTATCGTACAACGATCGGAAAATGTAAAATCCAACGATGTGTAAGTATGTTGCTTGAAGAAACTTGAAGGATGCACTGACATTTTAAAGGATAACCATGTTTAATTAGAATGGAAGGTGCGAGAGAAAGAGAGAGAGAGAGAGAGAGAGAGAGAGAGAGAGAGAGATAGAGAGAGAGAGAGAGAAAACCCTTTTGTACAAGAGCGGACTTGCGGGGAATGAATATAATTATAATTAATAAAAGCACATTTTCAAATTGAATTTGGCCGGTTTTCATTTTGACCGCCAGCCCGAATGCGCGAACAACTGACGTGCAAATTACATTTTGCCATAACCTTCAATTATTAATGAAAATCCAAATTTAAAAACGAAATTGACTTGTAATGAAGATACGGAAATGAGACTTCCTTTATTAAAGATAAGCTCATTAAAACTTTATTAGTGCAACGATGAAATTGGCACGCAGTAGCTTAGCAAAGGAGCAGTAAAATGAAAATCTTTTTATTCATTTGGAAAAACAGACAACGGGTGTGCAGTGTGCACACGACATAAAGCAAGCCTTTGTAAATGTTTTTATAAGGGATTGGCCCAGACAAATTACAATCTCACTTTAAGTCGAGCATCGCAGAGCAAATTCAGACTGAAAATCCCCGCTATTTTTTTTTCTCTTCATTTCAAAAAGCGCACGCATCCACTTTGGGTGTCCACAGATCATTGTAAATAGGTACTTTGCTGGTTTTCATTCACTTGACATTTTATGCACCCGCACAACTTTTTCCATCGACAACACACACAGCAAAAGTAACAGTTTTGTGTTTAACTTTGAACAACACGATGAGTAAGTTACGAAAATCTCGTGGTCTTAACGCTCTTAATGAACTGTTGACAAAATGAGGCGATTCGCCTCTTACTATTTCAGGCGAAACACACGCAATGACGCTAAACACAAAATAGAAAGGTATAGAATGAAGAGAGGGTGGAAAAAAAGAAAAAGAAGAAGTTGAAGAAGGAGAGATAAAAACGCAAAGCCATGTAGAATGGTTCTAATAGAGCCATAAATGCAACTATATGCAGTTTATCAAAGCCAGAGAAAGAGAGAGAGCGAATTCATAGCAAATGAAATCAAATGTCACCACTTTTCACCTGAATCTCAAATGAAAATTTATTGTTCCATTGTCGCTTTGCATAGTCAGCGCGAGCAAATGAACGAGACGCCACACCAAATAAAGTGCTTTTTAGCCATTTTTCCTCACCAAACCATTTGCAATTCCAAATGAGAGACATTTCGCACGCAACCCAAACGATTACACACCACTTGCTACGACCGCTTTGTTCCAAATGATTTATTTATCTATCGCACAGCAAATAAAAGAATTCGAAATCAAAATTAATATCATCACTTTCACTGCACAACGGGCACTCAACGAACGGCATTCATTCATATTATAAACGAAACTAATTTCAGGGTAAATCATTTCAATCCCTTCAGCCACAGCAGTTTCGTGTACGAGTCGTTTTCTGTATTTCCCACCAAAATCGATGAATGGAAGATGCTTGTTGTTATGTCGGCAAGTGGGAGGATCAGTCATACTAAAAACAACATTTTCTTACATCGGTTGTTATCAAAAATTCACAAAGTAATTGAAATAAAACAAAATCGTCATAGTCGTAGTCGTCAACTGACCGGAATTGTGGACGATCTGTTACCGAGACAGAACATGCTTCGATAGTTAAACGTCGAACCAATTCCACAAACATGAGCATAAGTCGTAAATTTGGCTCACTACCGGATACTTCACAGCTGTTGTCCAAATTAAATATTGAATGCGGATACAACAAGATTCAGTCAAATAGCATAGATGAAATCAACTGATTACTCGAGCTTATTATCGTCACACTTGAGGCTTCGGACCAAATTAGATTTGAATTCGTCACGAGAATGCTTTTCTCGTTTGTCTAGTTTTTTTTTTTTTGCTTCTCCTTCTCCGATTTCACTGGAGAAGCGAGTGTCATAGAACGCAATTGGAATCATTGCAAGGATTTGTGTTTGCTTTGATAAACAATTCATTAGAAATAGGTAAAACAATAGATAGGAAAATAACTGCTATCCATTTCAGGTGCAACACTTCTGATGATGACGTATAGGGGTTTTGTGCGTTAGCAAATTGCTATTTTTGAATGAATTCATTCGCATGGAAATTAAATAGTTTCGACTGCAGCCGTGCGGGTCCAAACCTATTTGGGATGACGTATATTCTGTGTATTCACGTGAACATTACCATAAATGTATCGTGATTTTCTTGTAAATATGTAATCGAAATGAATCTTCTTGTAACGGTTTTTTTATTTCTCGTGTCAATGAGAATGCTCTCGTCCACACGGGAAAACATAAGAGCAAGAGAGAGAGAGAGAGAGAGAGGGTTCTGGTAACGTAAAATTGCTCTCAAAAATTGGCTGTTGAAGCAATAAGGCGAATATCGGTGAGTGAGCGAGCGAAAGTGGCATAAAGGACGCACGCGTCAAACGACACAGCCAGCCACATATTACCGTTACAATTTCCACTTTCGAAAGTGCGCTACGGCGATAGCAAGTACGGTATCGGTACACACAGAGTGTGGCACACACTCAGCTCGATGAACAACGCACGAAATAAATAATATAAAAGGAATACCGATTGGTTCTTACAATTTAAACGTTCTTTACAACTCAAAGTGTCTGGATTTACAGAAGTGAAGTACCCAACACACCAAGTACAAGTTGTACCACGATTCTATTCTTTTTGAAAAGCGCAAAGTGACCATTCAACAGCACCGTTCTCTCGATTTCGGCGATGATTTTGTTTTGAGCTTTTTTCTCGGGAAATTTAAACAGAAAAAAAAAAAACAAATAATTCATAAATTCACGACTCTCAATTAATAAAATACAATTTATTCATCCTGGTTTGGAAGTCTAATCATAAGAATAAAGATATTTTAAAATTCGTTACAACCTCTGCAGCCGCATATAACTTTACGAAATATTTACTTGGCGAGATATCACATTAGCAACAAGTTGTGCACACACTCATTGTATTGACCAAAATTCAGTTTTCCCAACAGATAGGAGATATTTAATCAAATCCTCATTTTTTTACGCAATTAAAATAGAAATAGAATTATAAATTCAGCGTTTCATCGGGTGTGATTTTAATTCAACAATCAATTTACATCTTAATTAAACCAAACACCAAGTGAACGGTTCTTTTTGGTGTGTGATAAAAAAAAAACTGTATTTAAAGCGAACTAAAACAGAAACAACCGAAACTATTCCATATAGACGATATAATTAAGTGCATATCAGAGATAAAAGGGAATCGATCGTTGGACATTTTGATGAAATTTCATCTCATTGGTCGGGTGATAGATTTTGTTTTCACAAAAAGCTGAAACATTTCACAACCACCAATAAAAGTTCGGTCACACAACGACAAATAACATACACAAAAAAAAGCATAATCCATACGGAATTCAAGGTAATTGACCAATTCTTTTTCTTATACTTCCGTTTCATTTCTTACAATCAAATTTAAAATAGAAATAAAAGAAACGAATGTTATTTGCATTTCGGTCGGACGATCGTTTGGCTAGAATGGTCAAACCCTTTGACCATATATTTCAGAGTGCAGTAGCATTTTTATGCGGCCCAAGTTTCAACTTCAATCGAAACACACTTTCAAACGAAACAATCACGTTTTATTTAAATCTTTCCACACTCAATTTCTTTCGTTTGCGCGTTGCACATATTTTCAAACGGAATTCCACCAGACATTTTTGACCAACATGAAATAGTTTACCGAAAAAGAAAATTCAAGCAATTACACTTTATACTAAGCAGAAAACCACTTGAAAGACTCCCAAATGGAATATTCTCACAAAATGCATGCTTCGAGTTAATTCGGAACAAGCGTTTCGCTTTCATCCAATTTGAAATGGTTTGTGCAACAGCAAACATCAACAATAGTAGTACACCAAAGCATTTTCCGCTGTATTATTTTGCTGCTCTTTTTACATAAATATATAAATATAAAATATTTTTTTTCCCTTCTAATTTTCATGGCTTTAATATTATTATCGTAACACATTTATCGTCATCGTTACATTAAACGATGAGTTAAATGTATGCAAACCGTTTTGTAGCTGGTTTTTTGTTCGGTTTGCGTACGAGATGAATGAAAAAGCTCTCAGTGCAGTGTGACAATGAGTACGCAATATGATGTTCTCCGTGCAACTGAAACACACAGGAATACGTGTGCGTATATACGCGGATAAATTTTGTTTGGCAAGAATCATTAGAAGCGCTGATGAGGCTGTTATTCCAATAGATGCACAAAAAGCTGGCTAATTCGCTTGTAAGCACATCAAAATGATTAAATCCAATGATTCTTTCTGTCTTTTTTTGCCACTGCCCGCGTGTGCCTTCACATGCACCACACACTCGCTCGGTGCACGAATCGGTTCTTTTTTGTTTTTTCCTCACTCTCTTCTTTTCGTTTGCGTGTTTCAATCCGTTTGAACGTCGATGCGTTTCAATTCATTTGCATAATACGAAATAAACGAAATTTTCTGCCATTATTATTGGAGTTCAAGGTATATGCTATTATTACAATTTTCATATGCAAGCACAATTTTTGGTCGCTAAAAAATTTACGCTCCCGATGCGTATTCAGACAGCCCATTATATTCGACCATTTATCTGCACCGGTTACGAAATTGCTCATTTCATTATGTTCCTTTTTCCCATTTGTGTGTATGTCTTTAGTTTTGTTTCTTCTTCTTTCTCTTTTTTCTGTTGTTGCTGTTCATTTTCCATTGTTGTTGTACGGCAGAACAGAAGAGCATTTTGCATTTGTATGTTCGGCACCGAGAGAGAAACCATTAAAATTCAGTTAAGTTGTGTGATACTACAATCGTCCCAAACGACAAATGGCTTGCATCATTTTGTATCATGCTGAGTGTTGTTCACTTTTTTCCACATCCCAAAGTGTCATGTTTATTTTCCCCATTTAAATGTAAATTAATTAAACAAACAAATAACACTGTTTAGCTGAACTATACCGAACAGTTGCGTCAAATCAATTCGCAAACAATGTGCCGCTGTTCCGTATTATCTATTTCATGTATTCAATGAGCCCCCGGGATTTTGATTTAATTAGAATTCATTTGTGCCTAAATGAAAGAGAAAAAAATATGCTATCGTAGCTGCTATAGTTTTACAGGAATCTTTACAAAATTCGTCTCGTGCAGGTGAACTGTTCTCGTCTGCTACTGATGATCTTTATAATTTGCCACCTCCGTGCGAAATTTCGTTCCATCTGTTTCGAAGTTTTAGTCGATCGCATTGCATTTGACTTCGCTAATTGATGGAACTGCCACTTGAAGCATTTCAAAATGGTTTAAGCAGTTGTTAATGTAAAAGAACAAACTTTAGGAGAGAGAGAGAGAGAGAGAGAGAGAGAGAGAAAATTGCTGCAGGAGCTGCAGCTAAGGAACAAACTGTTTGTTTACGTCAAATTGAACCATTTTAAAGGTGTAAGTTGTTATTTGAATCGTTTGTTTGTTTTCATCAACAAACTCCTCGAAAAAGTCGAAAAAAAAAATCCGTACCACAATTTTTCTTCTAAGTGAATTGAGACATGACGAAACCAGAAAATGACTCTGGTTGCGATGAAAATGTGTGTCATAGATACGAGAAAAGTCGTCAAGGAAGAAAAACACTTTGGTAGTGAAAAAAATGAGAAACAAGTGAACTTTTCGCGTTGTCAAATTTAAATTATCCAAACTGCGTCATTCGTAACATTTGTTCAAGACTCTCAATACATCAACACGAAAATACACCGAGTTGTTTCACTAGAAAAACTATCGCACAAAATAAATGCAGCAAAAGAGATGGCCATGGACGTTCTCCCTCTTGCATGTCAAGTTTGGCAAATTTGATTGACGTTGCATTGATACTCGTTATGTAAGAAATCAATTATAATTCAAATAGGGAAATATGATTGATTTGCACGAAGTGATGTGCGACAAATGCGAACCCATTGATTTTCATAACAATTGTGCCGGAGCACAAGATAAAGTCGCTTTTGGCTTTGTGTTCATTCGATTTTTGCTCTATTGTATCGAAGGTGGTGATTACGTTCGATATTTCCGATGGGTAAGGCAAACAGGATATTCAGTGCAACAGCAACTCACAAACATACACACACACATACACACGCACATATACAATGAGTCGGTGCAAGCAACACGTAATCGGTGCTATCAATCGACGAAATATACGAGATCAATCAATCTTGATTTCCAATGTCAAATGCTATTTTGTATAGAAAGAAAATTATTTTATTTTCTGTATATTCCTAAAGAAAGCTCGATAACAGATCGCTGAACTCGGCCTTTAAAATAAACTGTGAATAGTGTGAGACTTTCTCATGGTGGGACGAAGGCGTCCAAAAATAGATTACCACAAGTTAGAGTGTTCTTTTCTCAGTCTCTTTCCCTCTCTCTCTCTCTCTCTCTCTCTCTCTCTCTCTCTCTCTCTCCCTTTTTTTTCGCATCATTAATATCCAACAATTGATGCTTTATTTCCGAAAGTGCTTCGAAATGCCAAGCCACTTGGTGACAGAATTGTGTGTATGTATATTTGTTGGCCCACATGCTGAATTCCCACAATTCGGTCGATGAAATATTGCGTTCACAATGAGCTCAAAATGATATAATTTGCCGGGAGCAGCAAAAAAAAACATCAGATGATTGCTGGCTTTTGGCCGCATCAAAAAAAAATTTGAATGCAATTTATTACATGGGGCACACTTTCATCAATGGACTGAATTCGCATACGTTCCAAAATACTACACATGGTTATGATTATGGCAATCGTAATTTAGCGTCATAACATTTGTGTATGAACAGAATGTTTTCTATTTTTCGTGTCAGCCCTTCTGTTCCGACTGGGTTTCTTCCTTCTTTTTTTCTTTTTTTTTCTTCTTTTTTTCTTATTCTCTCTTTTGCACGCGCTCGATCTGCTGCGTTTTGTCTTGCTTCCCGTTCTCTGTGGCTAATATTCTGTACCATTATTTCGGTTACACACATTCAAGCACATAAAAATGAATATATTCACTTAATTATGTCTCATTATATCTCGTCTTTCATTTTTATTTTGCTTGATATCGCGGCACATAGTTGTAAGCAATGTTTCAATAGAACACCCCATGAGTGGGGGGCGGGGGCGTACAGCATCATTGTTCGCCGAATAGTGCGACCTAAAATATGTGCTGGGAAAAAAAAGAAGAGGAAAAAAGTAGAAGAAGAGGAAGAAACAAACAAGAATGAATGGGTGAACGAGAGCAAGTCAAATGAAATATGGTGGAACATGCGTTCGGGCAGTTGATGTAGCAAATAGAATGGATACGGTAATGATGACGAAAGAAAAGTCAACAGTGAGGAACAAAGCGACTGGTTGAATTTTGTACTACATGCATACACTTGCCTGCTGCTACAGCTGCTGCCACTGTTGTTGCCGTATAGATTTACAGGCATTAACATACTAATGTTATTAATTATTAACATATTATTAACGGGGCGTTAATAACTCAAACATAACATATTATTAGATTAATAAGATTCTACGATATTATTAATAAGATCGCCATTTTATTAAAAAGTTAATTAGATCCATCTTATTATTAATGAGATAATCTTATTAAAATATTAATAAGAAAATCGGATTTTATTAATCAATATTTTTCGGTCCAAATGTTGATTTTTTCTTCACAAATTTTTTCCAAGTTTCATACTAAAAACATATCAAATATCGTCAGACGACGAAATCTTGAAGAAAAATGTATCTGACGATATTTGCTATGTTTTTAGTATGAAACTTTGAAAAAAAAATTTAGAAGGAAAAATCAACATTTGGACCGAAAAAAATTGGTTAATAATATCGTTATTATTTTTTTAATAACTGATCTTATTAATATTTTAATAAGATTATCTTATTATTGATAACCATCTTATTAACTTTTTAATAAAATGGCGATCTTATTAATCTAATAATATGTTATGTTTGAGTTATTAGAAATTTTCCGATATTTTGGCTATTAACATATTAATAACATATCGAAAATGTGAAACTATATATTGCCGTTACACTTGTGGAACGACCGCGTTAGAATGATACTTCACCCATTGGCTTTCTTTCTTCCTTTTTTCCATGGCATTTAATTTGGTTAATTTATTCCTTGTGAATATAGAATTAAGCAATTATCTCTTCTTCTTCAGTGATGCAGTGTGTAGAGAAGAGCAAAAAAAAGAAGCCAATATACGCGCGCTCATCACGCTCACACTCACAAAGAGCGGGGCCATATAACGATGAGCAGCTAATCAGTCGTTTTATTTGCGTTCAACCCATTGAAATGCGAAGAAGCACATCATGACTACATGAAAGCCAAGAATGCTGTTCCATTTGCACTGAAAATTT